TGATTTATATGAATGAACATTGCATGATGATTCTCGGTTTAACATTTTCAACAGTCTTTAAAACTGTTTTCGATAAGATTTTTGCCGTCTCTCTATATTGGTAGTGTTGATTTAATTGCCGTTTTCTGGTCCATGCTGACATTTCTGTTTAATAGACCAGGGTTTTCTGATCGTTTCCCCAGGATCTTGATATTTTATTCGTTTTTCATGGTGCCATAAAAATACATTTTAACCTATTAACCCATTTTTACCCATTGATTAAAAAGCAAAAACTATAATATTACATCCCTACCAAGATGTTTGGACAAGGTTATACGTAGGTTTCTCAGATTTGATCTCCATTATGTTCTTTATGAAAAGCGCTTGTGTTCAAAAGGTCGTTTTTTTATCTTATAATAAACATAATGCCTAAAAATGTCCTTCTATATACAGCTGAAATTTATAAAGGCTGTACAAGCTTCTGTGTACTTTGAGTAAAGAAATGTGTTCAGAAACATCTCGTTTTATGCATTTCCAGTTGAATTGTCTGTCTTGATTTAAAGATACCAGCCTCCGGTTGATCCTTGTCATGTTCCTCTTATTTTTGTTGGCTTACTAAGAATGATTCTTGCCTTTCGAGCGGATATAATGGTTTTATTTCTTGATAACCCTCCGCGCCTCCGTGTCTTCCATTTGAATCTAAGAGAACTGACCTTGTTCCAGAACCACAGAACATAAAGACGCTTTTAAAAATAGAGTAACTTTTGGCGACTAATTCAGTGTTTGTTTTGTTTTATTTATTTATTTTTTTCATTTGTTATATTGGCCAGCACTTACTTGTCAACTCAGACTACAAATAAATATGGGAACAATTCTTTCATAGTTTTGCAAAAAGTCCGGTCTGCTCATGATTTTTGCCTCCTGGAAGTAGTTCATATTAACTTAAATCAACCGTCTCTCGGCAAACAAAAGGAGCACTTCACCTGCTCCCTCAGTCTTTTAGGAGACCTGTAGGTAATATTTGTTTCCATTTTATACTCACTTGGAACTGTATATTTTATTCGTATTTTTTTCACCAATAAATTTATTTTAATTCTTGTTCCAAAATGTTTTCCTTCTCAGCTCTGCCATTTTATTTATGTTTTGTTTTATTCACTGTGTGAATTGCTCATTTCTTTCTTCACGTCAAATGTCTTGCCAACGTTTTCCTTCTAAATGTTGGCTGAACGGATTCCATAAGGTGTAAGAGAAAAATAAATAAAAATGCCTTTGTATATTTTTAACACTATATATATATATATATATATATATATATATATATATATACTAGCAGACATGCACGTTGTTAACTGGGTTTAGAAGCTGCCAAAATTGTTTTTGAAAGATATTGATTAGAGAGTATTGAACATATAATAATAAATGACTGTTAACATTCATGTAGGTGATACAGCTAGATCCATCCATTTAAAGCAATAGAAAGGACTGCCAGTTTCCATGCAGAACAAGGAGGTGCTTCCTCCAGGCCAATATCATCTTGGTTGCATATAAACTTCTTGTCAGTAATCACTATATTTTGGTTTATAAATGAAGCAACCATCACATATAAATAAAATCATCACATATAAATAAAATCATCACATATAAATAAAAGTTTGATGAGAACTATAAATATATGCATATTACAATATTTAAGTATTACAACAAGGATTACTAATAAAAAAAATTATAATAATGTTTATTTTCAGTCTAATATATCCAGTTGCCTGTTTGTTGCGGTCTGGCGAGTATTCGCTCTAAGTTTCCTCTCACTTATTTCTGAAGTTTCAGATTGTCTGGCAGCTGCAGTCCGCTGAGTATCCATTGTAGGACTCATTTCATTTTAGATTGTCTTGGTTCAGTAGCCTGTTGAGCATTTAATATAAGTCTTCTGTCAGTTTCTTCTTGATTTTCAGACTGTCTAGCTGCTGCAGTCCATTGAGAATCTAATCTATGTCTTCTGTTAGCTTCTTCTTAGGTTACAAACTGTTTTTTTGCTGCAGTTCGATGAGCATCTAATCTTCATCTGAGATCCGCTTGTTTTTGACTTTGTGACGCTTATGAAGCTGCATACCTTTCTGCATCTTCTCTCCTTCTCTTGCTCAAATAATCTTCAGTTTCTTCTGCTCATTTTTTCTGCCACTACGATTGCTTATGTGGTCCAAAACGGAACATTCGCGGAGGCATTGTGATTAAGGGTGTAGCCTAATTATTATTTGCAATAGTCATCTGGCATGACAGACATCGAAAAGATATAGAGTTGTTAAGGTTTGGTTCTTATAGGATAAACGATTTTATCAAAAATTCAAATAAATTGTAAAGTTGCATGCTAATGAAATTGGAGTTAGGCACGGTGGAGTAATGGATAGCGGTCTGCCGTTACCAGGACGCCCGAGTTCGTCGCCGATGTTGCCGAAGCTCTGAAAGAAAACACCAACAAAAACTTGAGGAAAATCACCACAGAACTGGGCACAAGCAAGCAAATAATTGGGTGCAGGAGTTGAATTATAAACCTTATATGCTCATGAGGAGACACTTGGATCACCGTACGTATGCTCCCACTTAATTGTCAGACTCGATTATTTTGTTTGGGGCGTCATGGATAGGGAGTTGAACAGCCGTCCCTACAACACAAAGGAGGCTCTCAAGGCAGCCATCAAGGACGCCTTGGCCAATAAGCGAGAATAAACCAACTATCAAAAATAACATACTTGGGCTAAAATATATAAATAGAAAAATAATTTAATTGAAAAAAGTTAAATAGGGAATAATTGAAAACATATTCAGCTATGAATAAATCAAGGAAAAAAGATAATAATAATCATATTGATTTATCTTCGCTAATTAATACTTTTAAACTTAAATCTCAGTGAGTCTGTTTATTTATATATATATATATATATATATATATATATATATATATATATATATAAATAGAGTCTAAAGGTGTGCTATACTTATGGGATAAAGTGCTCAATATCAGAGATAGAGCGTGTAAAAATAAAAAGTGAATATTGAAGTCAACACTTAGAGGCGACATTCAGTTTCATGCTAGATGCAATCGTCAGGCATGAAACTGACGATTGCATCTAGCATGAAACAGAATGTCGCCTCTAAGTGTTAACTTCAATGTTCAATTTTATATATATATATATATATATATATATATATATATATATATATATATATGTACTCTGCTCCGTTCCTTCTTTAAATAATTATATAATATTTAAAATTAACGCAGCGTAAATTTAAATTTGTATTTTTTTATTTTTAATGTTATTGTGAAATTATAAATTAGTTATACTGATTTCTAATTTAGTCTGACATTTACATTAAGGCATTAATTAATTATAGCTAGGAGTCGTTGTCAAGGTCGTTAACATATATTTGTATTTTGATTGATCATTACTGCTTACGTAACAATGTTTACCCTATTGAGGCGAGTTTGGTTGGTTTTGACTTTTAAAAAGTATTTATTCTGAAATCAACTCCATCACTTGACATGACACCAGAAGTTCTAGGTGCTATGACTCTTCCGAATGTCTCAATTATCACCATTATAATTATCACCATTTAAATAAACTCTCCAAGTTTTTTTTTCGCCACTGCCGTAGCCAGTTATTGAACAAACAACGCTTTTGGTCAAATTACTGGATCCAAGCAACGCTTTTATCGACTGGTCCATGTGTCCTCGAGTATCTACCTAGATAGACGAAATAAACGGCTCAGTTCAAAATTCCAGTCACCTGAAGAAGGCCGGTGCGTACAACGGCCAAAACGTTGTGAACATGACAATAAAGATGAGGACAACAATCCGAACAATGCAAATAACGTAAATGAGTTTTATAAATATTTTTCCTGCGTCTTGCGTTTACGTTTTTGTTGTATGATGGCTAAAACCATATGATATGTCATTTTCTGTTTGGCCTTTTATGTAATGTTTTGTGTTTATATGAGTGTTGCCTAAAATCCACTATCTTTCTTAAAATTACGGTTTCACTAGAAGATATGTATATGTAAATTGATTTGTCATTGGTTTTTTTCTACGATTTCTTAGGATGACTGTGGCGTCTAGGAAATCTTTTAGATGCATTTTTATATTTATCTCAAATCCTATATTTTTGAAAATTACTGTCATTATATTTTTTATATTGTCTGCTTTTTCTCTGTTACAGGTTCTTATGCTTATGAGATCGTCGGCACTGTAGATGTACACACACACACACATATGTATATATATATACATACATACATATATGGGTGTGGATATTTGTATATATAGATATATGTATATATACATATATATATATGTGTGTGTGTTGGTTTGATATACATCTGCTGATTTTTTTACGTTGATTGATAGGTGTTAGTGCTTGTCACATCAAGTTTTAAATGAGATAAAAGCCAATTCGTAATGTGGTTACATTGGCGGAAACGGATGTCGTCGCAAAAAAAGGATTTTGTGCAGTCCCAAAGAGTATAGCCGTTAGCAAATTTCCATTCAGGAAATTAATTTTTCGCCTAAATGCTTGATTTTTTAAACGTTTTTGTCATGTTTAATTGACAACTTGGCCTATAAATTTGACTTAATAATTAATAATAAAAGTGTTTTATAAAAAGACTACATTTTAATTTTCTGTTAAATATTCATCTAACTGCGGAGAAATTGTGTTCTGAAATTAAAGCAAGTAAAAAAAAAAGATTCGTCTTTCTCAAGAAGGAAATTTGATTGAGAAGTAATAAAAAGAACAAAAAGGGAAATAACATAAGATAGAAAAGATAAACAAATAAAAAGTGCTCCTGGCGTGATATCCAAAATATTTTAAAAAAAAAAAAAGAAGAAAAACAGCGATATACATACATAAGTTAAAAATAAAAAAAAAATATTTCAGCGGAAATGAGTCGTCTCAGAACTT